GATGGGTTTAAATACAGGACAGAAGCAAGGAAAGGACCAGGGCGCTAATGCTGACCCTGTTTGTGTCTCGGCTGAGGTTTGTGGGGGTGTGAAGGGGCCAGGGTTGTGAGTGCACCTGTGGATATGGGCTGAGCATTTCGGAAGGGAGCTGAAGGCCCCCTCATCTCAGGGTGCCCCTGCCCCAGCTCCCCCCTGCAGCCACTGCCCCGCTCCATCCTTCCACTTGCTTTCTATCAGCATGAAGTAATTAAGTTCATAAGGCATCCGACAATCAGCTAGCAGCCCACAAGACGTTGTGTTTAATCATGTACTAATGGCATGTTCTTGGCAATAATTACAAGATAACAGTGTTTGTAGGCTGTAATCAGAACAATTCTAGTAATTAAATCAGCCTTTTGTCAGCACAGCTCCTTCCCCCTCGGCCGGGTGGGAGAGTGGCGTGGCAGGACACCCCAAAGGAGGAGTGCACCCCCAAAAGTGCTGGTTGTGCTGGGGGTGGCTGCTGCTGTGGTTGGTGCTGATGGTGATGGGAGAGGGAGGGAGCTGCTTGCAGGGAGCTCGTTGGGGCACAGCTGCCTCGGAGCTGGTGCTGACCCCAAAACACCAATGAGGGGGATGTGCACCCTTCCAAGGGCTCTGCCCATCAGGCATCGGTGGCACAACCCCATGGCCTCTTCCTTCCCATCTCCTCAATGGGTCCATGGGACAAGCACAAAGAAGGGCAGGGATTAACCCCCCCATGTCCTGCCTCTGGCACTGGTCTAACCCCAAACCCACCCTTCCCTCCTGTGCGTTACAGCTGAGCACATTTGGGTACAAACCCATGCCCGTGGCACATTTCCTCCTCACAAGCCCCAATCCAACATTCAGCCCCACTCCTGCACACACTCACTCACCCACAAACCTTTAATTTGATCTCTAATAAAGTTTTCCCAGCCTCATTATACCAGCCAGGCTCACCATTTACATTTAAATGAATGGGCTATTAACGAAGTTAATTCCCCGAGACAGCATTGCATGTCCCCCGGTCTGTGAGAGTCTTGTCACTTGTTTGGGTAGAGCCAATTTCCAAATTTGATCTTAACTTCGGAGAAGTAGGACCTTGGGCATCTCCACAGCAAAGGGGAGATTCATTCCTCTGTTTATTGCTGACAGAGCATGAGATTCGTTTACCCCACTGGTGCAGCTATGTGCAGTGTTTCTGTCCACAAGCAGCAGAACAAGCCATTTTAAATATAACTCCCTCTTTCTAAGAGGTAAAAAAACCCCATCAAACAATAATCCAAGAATAAAAATAAGCAGTTTTATGGCTCCTCCAATAATTAACTTAGTTCTCAGCTGTTCATTTACGCACCCAAAGCCCTCTGTTTAGTATTCTAATTTGCGGTTAATCATCTATCAAGAGAGAACAAATGGTGATTAGCTCATTTTTTACCTCCTCAAGGGTGAGGGAGGCAATTTGGTCTAATCAATGCTTGCTCAAGGAAACTTTTATCTCATTGCCCTGAATTATTTATGCCACAGAAGTGTCCCTGGCTTGGGTGGGATGTGAGGGTGATGCCAATGGGTGCCCACGGACACCTACACAGGCAGCAATGGCTCCTCTTGGCCATGCTCTGCTAGGGATGCCCCAGGGGGTGCAAAGCCCTGAGAAAACTGGACAGAAATTGGACTTCCTATTTCATTTTTTCCCATACTTTCAAAGGAGAAGGGAAGAGCAGACAAGCTGTGGCACTTGCAGGAGGTGACAGCAGGCCCAGAGGGGCAATCTGTGTGACCACGGAGGGATCAGTCTTGATTTCCATTAATTTCTTCTCTTTTAGTCCTTAACATCACATGAAAGCCTTGTGATAAAGCTTGGCTCCACACCTTCGTGTTTCTGGAGCCTTTGTAGCTGCAGGGACGAGCTTGGGAGGTTCTTAAACTGCTGGAAATAACTTGAAAATACTCTACACGTTATTTGCTTTGAAAATAAGTCACGGGGGCTTAGTCCCTGACGTTTGAGTGACTGGGGACAGTGCACACACTGGGCTGTGTCTCACAGGAGCTGCACAACCAAACAGTCCCAAGGTCCTTTGCCTGTGACCACTGGGACAAGGGGAGGTGACAAGGACCTGGCTGGGTCCCAGCAGCCCCATCTGCAGAAAAAAGCCACGATGTCAAATTCGGGCACCAGCAGGTGGGAGAGAAAAGAGCAAGAGCTCCAGCCAGCTGCCTCCTTGCGCTTTAATTAAAAGCAAATCTCCTTAATCTCCCCAGACACCGGCCTTGCCAGCCCCAAATTGTGACACCGCGTGGAGCGGCTGTGGTCGTGCTCGCCCTGCGGCGTCTCCCGGGATGCGGCTGGGGCCCAGGGCTGCCCGCTGAAGGTCAAAGCCGCCTCTCGCTAACGAAGAGCTCAGCCCCCGCCGCAATTAGCGCATTTCGGGAGGCTTCGGGTGGCTCCGAACAGCGGCGGGGGCAGCAGGACCCCGCACTTGCTCCATCCCATCCCCTCCCGCTCCCAGTTCCCGTCTCCCAGTGTGTCCCAGTTGCGCCATGGTCATCCCGGAGGTGGGAAGGGGCTGAGCAAGGGGGGGTTCAGCCCTTTCCCACCACCCCTAAAGCGAGGGGAAGGACACAGCCTTGTGCCGGGGGGGAACCCTGCAGCAAGCTCCTACCAAAGGGAGAAAAAACCTGGTTTTAGTAGGAATAGGAGGAATTGGGCTCCCTGGGAAGGAGGGGATTGAGCGGGCAGGCAGCTCCCTCTCGTGGGGAATCAAATCGAGATGATTTGGGCTGCGCAGCCGGGCTGCGGCCCCAGATGTGCTGCACAGCTGGAGCCCGGGGCAAGCCCGGCCGGGGGCTGTCCCTAAAGGGGGTCCATAACCTGAATTTCCCCGGAAAAAATTAGGATGAATCTCCCCATTTGCCCAGCGATGGGGACAAGCGCTCAAGGAGGCTGCTGCTTCACCTCTCCTAATAACAATTTGTTGTTATTTGGGGCAGAGATTGGACGCTTTCCAGCTGCTTCATTTCCACAGATACTTGGGTTTTCATCTCTCTTGTCTCTGTAATGGCATCCAATCTGCTATTTATTGGATGAATATTTATGAGGGCTCTGATGAAGAGGCAGATTCGGAGCGGGTTTGCCACTCATTGAAAACAACCAGAGTCTGGCCCCTAATTAATATGCAGCCTTCTTAATTCCTTGATTAAATTGCAACTTGCAAATAAAACATTTGCAATTCGCTTCCAATTGGAAAAAAAATTAATAAAAGGCAGTGTCCTTAAAGCCAGCTGATTGCAGGTTAAGTGATGAGGCAGGGGTTTGCAGAGGGCATGCAGAAGGTGATTTAGGGGGAAAAGATGCTCCTGCATCCCACTTCAGCCCCATTTTGGCTGCGATTTGCTGGGGTCCCGGGGCTGGTGGCAGTGATGCTCTGTGCGGCAGGAGGGACCCGGGCAGCCTTTTCCTTCACCTCTCCCCGGGATTTGTTACCCTGCCAAGCCGAACATGCTTTGCTAATAAACAAAAATTGATTTTTATTTATCTTACAAAGCGAAGCCCCATTGCTCCCGCTGCACGGCTTTAATCCTTTCTGCTGTCGATGGAGATAATGAGAAAGACACCTGCGGATCCTGGCAGAGCCTGGGGCCTCCTTTTTATCTATTAAGAGATCAATACCCTTTGCAATGCTGCTAATAGTTTTCTGGTCCCCTTGATTGCGAGGGGACATGGGTGGACTCGGCCTCAGTGGAAGGTGCCCAATGTATTTCTGGCAAATTTGGGGGGCTCAGGAGTGGCAAATTTTTCAGCAAGAAGGGAAAAAAAGCAGGAGGTCTTGTGAGGAAATATCTTGAGAGGCTGAAATGTTCCCCAGGGGTGGGAATGAGCAGTTGAGGCACCCAAATAGGGGCTTGAAACAACAGAAAAACTAACATCAGCCCTCAAATAATAACCCCTCCCCACCACTATAGTCCTGTTTGGTTCAAAGAAATCAACACGTTGTTCCAGTTCATTAACAATCCATCTCGCTTTTATTGTCCATTTTTTTAAAAAGGTGGTGTTTCACTATTCATAGTTATAAAATCATCCTATTTTACAAAGATTTACAGCTCTCTGAGTGCCCAGCAGTGAACAAGGCTGGATCTGGCAAGTCTCTTAAATAATCAAACCACAATTATTGTTTAAAAAAAAAAAACAAAGGAGGGGACAAAAAGGAAACCAGCAATGAGCTGATTCAGCACCAAGCAGGACATAACAGAGTAAGAGAATTTGTATAAAAGACAATTTATTTCTTTGGGAAGGGGCACAGGGGGTAGAGGACGGGCAGAAGGGGCAGGTAACGAACCCCAGTAACGAGGACAGGACTCAGGGCAACCTCTTTATTCTTCACCATCCCTGGGGCTGTGGGATGGGGGTGATTCCTCCACCAAATTTAATTCCCAAGGCTGCGTTTCCCCTCCCATGGCTGCCTCAGCCCAGCGCCCTCCCGCAGCCGGGACGCGCAGAGGTCGCTCCCTATGGATTTGCAGTTTTCCGGTCTCTTTCTGCCAGCCCCGGCGTGGGTTTGCCATGGTGCCGGTGGCTCCTCAGTACATGGGGCCCTTGACGGCTCCCGGCTCCGTCAGACGTGCAGCGGCATAGGCTGAGGCTCCCAGGCAAGCGGCCGGCTCGCAGAAGCCCGGTAGGCCTGCAGGCCCGGGTAGGCCCGGCCGACCGGCCTCTCCTGGGGAGCCCGGCAGACCCCGCTCCCCTACTTTGCCATCAAGAGCATGGCCAGGGATACCGGGGAGACCTGCAATGGGAGCACTAATGGGTGCTGAGCCCAGGCTTTGCTGGAGCAGAGCAGGGGCTGGGGTATGGGAAGTGCTGCTGATGAGGATGAGGATGCATTAGTGGCCATCGAGCAGCACCGTGGGGCTAGAAAGTGAGGAGGCAGCAAAAGGTGCTGAAGGTGGGAGATCTGCAGGATGAACCTGTCCACATTTGCAGGGGATGGGCCAGAAGGTCCCAAGCCACTGCTGGGCTCGTCATTGCACCACCAATAGATATTAGATTGGATATTAGGAAAAAAATCTTCACTGATATGGTTATCAGGCACAGAAACAGGCTACCCAGGGATGTGGTGGAGTCACCAGCCCTGGAGGGGTTTAAAAGATGGGGAAATGCAGTGCTCAGAGACATGGGTTAGCAGTGGCCAGGTTATGGTGAGACTCGATCTTAAAGGTCTTTTCCAATGCAGTGATTCTGTGGGGGCAGAGGGGCTTACCTGGGATCCCTGGGGGGCCTGGCATGCCTGGGTGGCCTCGGCCGGCTTCTCCCCGCTCGCCCTTCTCACCTCGCTTCCCTGCGGGGAAAGAAATGGGGAGGGAATGGACTCACTGGAGCTGCAGTGGAAAACAGGGAGCAGAGCGGGCTGCCCCTGCTCAGGGACCGAGGAGGGGTTCAGAGTGGCAGCAGGAGGCAGACTCAGCCCCGAGGAGGATTTTTGGCCACTCATCACCTACCTTTAGGTCCTATGTTGCCAATTTGCCCGGCAGCACCCAGGATGCCAGGGACACCTCGAGGTCCCATGGGTCCATGCGGACCCTGCTCACCCGGTGGCCCTGGGGGACCAGGAGGTCCAGGGGGTCCCATGGCACCAACTCCCCCCAGGGCAGCTCTCTTGGCGCTGACAGCCACCTCTGCCAGCTGCTCTGTAGGGCAGAGAGAGGCCGGTGTGGGACGGGATGGGGCACGGTGGCAGCCACAATGGTGGTGCCCCTGTTGTCCCCTCACCTTGCAGCATCTTTAGGACCACGTCAACGATGTGCTGATCCCCAGCGTCCCGCCCCTGCCAGCGGGGAGAGAGGGGTACACCATGAAGAGAGACCACTCCTTCCTCTTCATCTGCACCCACTGGTCCCATCCCGTCCCCCACAGCACCTCCCTGTACCCAATGCCACCATCCCACCCTTTGTTTTCCACTCAGTCCTAGTCCAGGTCCTCCAGCCTTGGCTTATGCCATGCCTGGCCATGCTCACTGTGTTAAATTTTTTGCAGCCCCATTTTGCAAATATAAAATGTTGTAAAAATTCTGTCCCCTGGGCAGGCTATAAAGACAGATTGGAGCTAAACCTGCTGCTGGTACTATATATGATGAGAAATAAAGAATTCCTCTTTTCTAGAAATGATGGGATCCCAGCTCAGCCATCCTGGAGAGCTCATGAGGGGAATAGCAGCCGTTTCCCAAAGGAATTTCTTGGGAAGAAGAAGCCGGATTGGAGGCAATTCAGCCACAGAGCTGCACAGGCACCACAACAGCCCCTGGGTCACTACATCCGAGGTGCAGGAGGTGAGGAGGGGATGTGGGGGTACTCACCGCTACGCCCCGTGGGCCGGGCATCCCGGGCACCCCGCGCTCCCCCA